CGCATATTTGCGCAGGCCCCGGGGCCAGCTGTGTGCCAGTGTGTCCATGCCGAGCATTGCCTCGGTTAGGGAGTAGAACCACTGGCAGTGGGTGACTTCTGGAGATGCAAACAGGTCTACCTGAGCAACTCCGAACCATCTCCAGATCAGCAGAACCGCCTGGGGGTGGAGTCTCCACTCTCCTGGAAGTGCTGCTCGAGACAGCTCGTCGGCTGCCTTATTGAACACACCCGGGATGTGGATGGCACGAAGGGAACTCAGATGCTTCTGACTCCACAGGAGGAGGTGGCGGGCGAGTTGTGACATGCGACGGGAGCATAAACCGCCTTGCCGGTTGATATACGCAACGGTCGCAGTGTTGTCCGTGCGGACCAGAACGTCCCTGCCCCGAAGGCGCCCTCTGAGGTGGCTCAGGGCAAGGCGTACTGCTAGCAACTCGAGGCAATTGATATGCCAACGCAGTTGGGGAACACTTCCAAACACCTGACACTGCGTGCCCATTGTACGTGGCCCCCCAGCCGGTGGCCGAGGCATCCGTGAATACCACAGCATGCCTTGATACCTGTATCAGGGGCACCCCTGCCCGGAGAAACAAGGGATCTGACCACAGGCTGTAGGTTCTGTGGCAGGCCGGTGTAATCTGAACCCGGTGAGTACCGCGTTGCCACCCCCACCTCGGGACTCGGCCATGGAGCCAGTGCTGAAGCGGTCTCATATGGAGCAGACAGAGCGGAACTACCGCCACAGCTGCAGCCATATCAGGAGCCTCTGAAATTATTTCAGTGGGACCGCCGTCCTGCCTGATAATGTCTTGAAGCAGTTCAGCACCGACTGAGCATGTTCCTGGGTGAGGCGTGCTGTCTGGCTGACCAAATCCAACTCCATGCCGAGAAAAGAGATCCTCTGCGTTGGCATGAGTTTGCTCTTTTCCCAGTTGACCCGAAGACCCAACGGGCTGCCTCTACGACTTTGGTGAAGAAGCGAGGTGACAGGGACAGCCCGAAGGGCAGGACCTTGTACTGATATGCCCGACCCTCGAACGCGAACCGCAGGATTGGCCTGTGCCGCAGGAGGATCGAGACATGAAGGTACGCGTCCTTCAGGTCGATTGCTGCAAACCAATCTTGGGGATGGATGCACTCGAAATGCTTTTCTGCATCAACATCTTGAACGGCAGCTCGTGAAGTGCATGGTTCAAAACTCGCTGATCCAAGATCGGTCATAACCCACCACTTTTCTTGGGCACAATGAAGTAAGGGCTGTAAAACCCCTACCTCATATCGGCTGGAGGGACCGGCTCTATCACAACCTTCGCCAGCAGAACTGCGATTTCCACACACAAGACAGGGGCATCGACAGCCTTGACTGAAGTAAACCGGATGCCCCTGAACTTGGGGGGACGCCGGGTGAACTGAATCACGTAGCCGAGTCTGATGTTCTGCAGGAGCCACCGAGACGGACTGGGGAGCGCTAACCAGGTTCCGAGAGACCGTGCCAGAGGAACCAACGGAGCCACCGACGTGCCCACGGTGGGGCAGCGTGGTGGAACACAGGGACTCGGCCCGAGGCCTGTGACGGCAGAGGCCGGAGTCTGGGTGTGAAGTGTAACACTCACCTGATTCCTCCGTGTGTGAGAGAAAACACAGGGTCCCGGCTTGAGGCTTGTGACAGCCATGTGACGACATGTGTGACGACATGAAGCAGGGACTTGAATGCTACAGCCCTTACCTGGTTCCACGAATGGGCAGGGGGGGTGCTCTTGGGCAACCCACTGCTGCCAATGGTGAGAGAGGAGGAGGGAAGTGACCCTGTGATGCACAGTTCACAACTCTCTTCCTCTTGAGACCCAGAGACTGAGGAAAGCGCTCTTTTATTGTTTAAGTTTTGGGTACCGCTGGCTGCTGGGCCAGCGGCAGAACAAAAACAAAACGAAACAAAAGATTATCCATCCGGCCCTCCTCCGGGGGAGGGAGTGGTGCAGTCACCATCTCCCGACGAGCAGTCTTCTCCATCTCCGGGTCGCCCATCCCAGGGCCTCTTGCACTTGCGCTTATCGCCAGGTTTGGCGGGGGCCTGAACGGGCTGGGCGTCCTGCCTGCGACCAGCTCCACGACACTGCCTGGTGGAAGGCTGCTGCATGGGAGCGGGGGCAGCCACAGGGGGGCGCCCACGGCGATGACCAGGCTGAGGGGCTGCAGCCGGGGTGGAAGCAGCAGGTTTCCTCCAGCGCAGGATGTATTTGAACGCCTCAGTCTGCTTCTGTGCCACCGAGAACTGCTGGGCAAAAGCTCTCGACAGCATCGCCGAAAAGGCCGGTCCGTGACACGGGAGCATTCAGGAACTGCACCTTATCATGCTACTTCATGTCAGCCAGACACAGCCAGAGATGGCGCTCCTGGTCCACTAGCGTGGACATCGCACGACCTAGAGACTGTGCAGACTGTGAGGTCCGTCGCAGTTCATGCAGAACCGTCAGGTCATGGCCACCCTCGTGCAGGTCTCTCAGGGCTTTGGCCTGATGGACCTGCAGCAACGCCATGGCATGAAGGGCAGAAGCCGCCTCCCCACAAGCTCTGTAAACACTGCCAGTTAGACCTGACGAATACCTACAGGCCCGTGAGGGGAGACACGGGTCACCCCGCAATGTGGAAGCGGCTGTTGGACACAGTTGCATGGCCACAGACCGCTCCACTGAGGGAATGCCCGTGTACCCCAAAGCGGCTCCACTTACGAGGGTGGTGAGAGCGGAGGAACTACAAGATTTGTTTCCGGCAATAAAATGTGCCTTCCACGATCTTGTAAGCTCCTCATGCACCTCCGGGAAGAATGGCACCGGAGGGGGGCAACCTCCACCGAGAAACCACTCGTCCAGCCTCGAAGAATCGGGACGCGGTGGAATATTCCACACGAGCCCCACATTCTCGGCGGCCCGGGAAAGCATAGCTGTCATCTCTGGGTCTGGCTCGGACAACGCTGTCACACCCGAAGGGGGCAACGCAGTCGGGTCGTCATCCCCGGAGAGAGAGAGCTCGCCCTCCGATGCAGCGATTGACATCTGGTCTCGAGGGGGCGAACCAAAGGAAACGGCCGGCTCCCTCCACAGTGTAGAGGGGCCAGCACGTTCCTCCGGCCGCTCCACCGGCTGCGGAGTGCTTGAGGGGTGACGAACTCCCTCTGGGGAAGCCGTCACCGTGATCCTCGAATCACCTCTGAGTCCACCGGACGCAGCGCCGCCCCGATTGCCGAGACGAACACTGGATCGAGGCAGAGGGACCCCACCACGTTTGACGTAACGGAGTCTTTCATGCAACTTCGAGATGGTCATGTCCCCACAAAAAGAACATGCACCATCCACGAACGCTTGCTCAGTGTGCTCAATGCCCAGACACGTGAGACAGCGATCGTGACTGTCCTGAGGCGCCAGATAGTGACCGCACCCAGAAACGCACGGATGATAAGACATCTTTAAAAAGACGCGATCACCCGTGTTGCTCTTTTAGAGAAATGCTCTTTTGTGGGGAATGCTCTCACGCAGGGGAGCTGGCCACCGCATACTCCTGGTGTGGCTGTCTGCACGAAGATGATTTTCTGTTCTCGCCGTGCAACCATGACCACCGCTGCCGCGCCGTAACGCCCGCACTCGCTGACTCTCTGCTTTGCAACACCGAAGTAGAGAGCAGTAGTGATGCACTACCGCTCGGCTCCGAAGCGAAAGGATGAATGAATGCGGTGCACCTGCTGCCTCTTATACTCACGCTGTAATAAGCGGCAGCTGGGTGCAATAATCGCATGCCAATGTGCATTGGCTCGTTTAGTTACACTCGAAGTGGATTGGTCTCTCTGGCGAGATCTCAATTCGTCGGTCAACACTGACGTGACGTAGAGAGTGACCGACTGAAAGGGAACTAAATTATCACGGTTATCAGTATTATTATGGTATTGTTAAAATGTACTGGAAATGTTCAAAAAGTACACATAAATGGTTTCACCAAGTTTTGTATTTAAAATCAACAAACAATAAATAAAATTACTTTTTATTTGCATAAACACTAAAACAATAACTTTACTAATGATGTCCAGATTTTAAATGACAACATGACTGACAACCCTTTATCTACTAGCTTGTATGAAATGTTCAAATAAAGCTTTGAAAAAGTTTCATAAAATTGTGAGCCTCACATTTCAGCCTTTAAAGAAAAGGGTTAAGTCAAAATGATAATTGATTAATAAATGATTATATGCATTTTATCTGCTCCATAAATAATTCTAAATGCCTTGTCCAAGTTGTTTAAATGTGCAGAATTCACATCTATTTTTGGCCAAACAAAACCTGCTGCACACAGGCTGAATGTGAATGTAAGTCTCTGTAAATCCAGTCTCTGACAGCAGGTGGCGCTTATGGAGCAGCAGAAGTACAGCTGTTTCCCTCCGTGAACAAAGAGATTAAGAACACTACTTTATTAGGTATTACATGGAGCGAAGATGAAAACAAAATGCCATTAAATCTTTTCTGAAGACAGTAAGAACCTTCAGAGGTACATTCATATAATTAATTCATTCATGTATTAATTTGTATAATTCCCTTAGCACTCTTTTAAAACCTCCCAGCTTTCTGCCATGTTTTTACACAAAACGAAACTACTGCCTGCTGTGTGCACCTGAGACTGTTAGCTAACTGTGCTTTATGCTGGACAGTATTTATTTATCCTCAGTTGTTCAATCAAATACGGTTAAAATGATAATTAAACCGTGGGGAATTTTATCATGATTTATCATCAAACCGGTAATCATTCCATCCCTAAGTCAAACATGTCAAAGTATACTCCATTTAATGTTGTGCGCGAACGCGGTCGGTCGACACATGCGTTCTAGAAAGCTTCATCCATGTCCAGTGTCTTCTCTATTTTTCCCCATAAGTTATGACCGATAACACATATTTTTTAACTCTTTTAAACCAAAGCTAGGCTATCCCATACCCTCTCACTCACAAGCGCTTGTCATTGTGAGCGTCTGTTGTTGTTGCAGTCTCTGCTATTTTGTTGTTGTTGTTCCGTCTCTTTAGTTTCGTTTTCTACTGTGAAACAGCGACCCGGGTCACCTTGTGGAACATCTGATTACTGCAAAACAAATTCAATGTGCATGTTACAAAAATCGGGTGGTGCGCATACTATTCTGATGACAAAATTTGCATCACGCGCACTGTGTGATGTCTCTCATATTCTACAGTACTTTTGGCTTAATACTGACACACTGAATGTGTGTGTGAATGATGCAGATCTTCATTAATGTGTGTTTGTGTGTTTATAGTGTGGATCATGGAGGAGAGATCAGGATGACAGCGGAACCACGAAAGTGTAGGTCTACAAACACAAACACACACACACACACACACACACTCACACAAACATACACACAAACACACACACACATTCACACACACTCTCTCTCACACACACACACACACACACAAATTGTTGTTTGACTATATTGTTAAGCTCATCTCATAGACTTTCATTGTTTTTCTATCAGGTTAATGATATCTTCTATGACCTAAACAAACATCACAGAAACCTGTGCAAAGCACTAGATTTAAAGAGAAACATGATTTGTCTAGTTCAGGGGCGTCATGCAGTCATTTTTTTATTTTTTTTGTCTCGTCATATATATATATATATATATATATATATATATATATATGCGTGTATAACTGATATAGGCTTATGTTGTATTTAATTTTTCCTTTTTATGTGAAATATTCCCAAACGTGTTAACTATATCATGAGATATCTCGATTCTCAAATATGTGTAAGTAAATGCATTTTGCTCCTTTATAGATTATGTTAGTTGATCTATAATTGACAATGGGCAAAGTAGCCTAATAGTGTAATCTATTAACTACGCATAAAAACCCATCTTTTTACTTAAGTACCAGACATGGGTGTCATGCCATAAAATATTTTTAATGCGACCAAAGTTGGGTATAACGCATTACTGTATTGTAATTACTTTTCCTGGTAACACAGTAATGTAATGCGTTACGTTTTAAATTTATGTAATTTGATTACAGTTACTCAACTGTATTCCTCAAATGCAGTGTTAAAAATATGAAGTAAAAACATATTTTGCTCATCAGTATGCCCTTTAATAAATCACCAGAGAATGCGAGCTAAAATGCAGACGAGTCCTAGAACATTTAGATGCAATGAACGGTTGCCTATCATATTTCAAAATGTTGCACTTGATTTTACATATTTTAGTCTGGCATTATAGTTTGGAAAAAGTTCAACAAGTGAATGTGTACAAGTTTATGTCACAGTAACACTAATATAGGCGTACACTGTAAAAAATTACCTGTAAATTTTACATCATAATACTGGCAGCAGGGTTGCCAGCCAGTTACTGTAATATTTACAGCATTGTTGCTGTAATTTAATTTACAGCATTTCCCTCTTTGTTTCCTGATTACAGTAAATAACTGTATTTTTTAAAACCATTGCTGTATTTTTTTTTACAGTAAACTACTTTAATATGTGTGTGCTACAATATTAATGAATATTAATGACTAGCAGGTGAATTTTACATTATCACCAGAGAATGCGAG